TTACTTATACTTTCATACAAAGGAGATTAATACTGAATTATTTAGGTAATTAGCAAAAGGGATGCATTTTATAACTAATCAAATTATAATATTTTCAAATATTGCAATATGATTGATTGACAAATCCATCACTCCACTTCCTTCAAACCAAACATACTCTTAGGAGAGATTTTCGAATCCTATATTAAAAAAAAAAAATTTCCTGTAAAAGTTAAGTTTATTAAATAACTGCAAATCTTTTTTGAATTAAAATATTAAATTGAAATATTACTACCAAAATATTAAATATTAAGGGTACATCTTTAAATTGGAACTAATTTAAAACTTATTGAAAATAATTAAAAATATATCAAAATAAATCTAGAAAATTAGATATGACACAAATAAAGAAAAAAGGTTAAAACCCCAATTTGGTCCCTCTATTTTGGCAAAAGGTCCCTTTTGGTCCCTAAAGTTTGACATCTAACCCTTTTTTTGTCCCTCCGTTGAATTTTGACGTTAAATGGCGAAAATTTCAAACGAGAAGAACCAACAAGGGGCTTTCTTTTTTAAAAATAGAGGGATTAAATTAGAGCTATTTTTAGCCCCCTTTTGGCCCTTCTACTATGAAATTTTCATCATCTAATGTATCACATATGCAAAACTTAAGAGAGGGATTAAAAAAAGGCTGGATTTCAAATTTTAAAGATCAAAAAGGGCTTTTTTATAAGTACAATGACCAAAATGAGACTTTTTTTACCAAAGTAGAGGGACTAAAATAGAGATTTAACCAAGAAAAAAACATTATTCTAGGAGGAAACAAAAAAATACTCTATAAAAAATTGAACATAATATCTATCAATATAACACAGGACTTATAAAGCAGCATAAGAATATAATATGAAATGCTTGCCTTAATTATGTATTATAAAGTGTTGAAGCATGTAAACTATTAATAAGTAAACATATATTCAAAAATAAGAAGTAACATATACATAAATATTTTTGAAAAATTTAAAGAAAATAAAATTAAAAAAAAACAATAAAAGAGAGTCAAATTAAAATGCCACCTAGAAATATTATCGTTTTAAATTGATCAAAAAATATATTAAACATTAAATCCTAGTTCGAATTTAAATCCTAAAACTCTAAATCATAAATTTTAAAAACTTGAACCTTTAAATTTTTATTATTGAACTCTAAACTTTTAAAATCCAAAACTCTAAAATTATAGAACTAAATGTTAAATTCTAGAACTCTAAAGTTTAAATTTCTAATTTTACATGTTAAATCTTAAATATTGAAACATAAAATTATTCTTCCTAACTTCTAAAAAAGTCGGGTTTAAAAAAAATAAATGCTTAATTTGAAAAGAAGTATGGTAAAAAAAATTAG